AATAAAAGCAACATGGTTATTTTTAGAGCTCTACAGGCATAAAAATACAGCACTAAACTGTGACCTGCAGCTATGCACAGCAAAGCATCACATCATGCGACCGTCTTCACTGGAGCCAGGAGCGCATCTGTGGTGCCTCGGTGAACGGACTGCTTCTCAGCTCATCACCAAAGACCTGTCAGCTTGCATTTGGGACCAGCGTCCACAGCTGGCAACATCTTTTCCCAATAGAATTAAAAGGGAGACCATTATACAAACTGTGAAGATTAACTAGTAAGTTATTTTTGTCATTTCTTCTAGCTTATTTCCAAGGTGAATTAATGAGCATTCTCTCCAAATGAAGACATCACAACCTCATTCCTCACATAGAAAGTTGTTTATTTTGAACAGTTTCAGTGGGTAAGCCGGGAGGCTCACTGCTTCCACAGAGGACATATCGAGGAGAACCCGTAAGCCTGACTGGAACACAGCCTCGTCACCGATCCAGGTGAACTTTGGCAACATCCCAACACCAGCTCCACCCACGTGGCAGGTAAGCTTTAAGCCTTTTCTGAACAAGTGTACCTTTTTGAGACACGCTTTTATATAGCACTCTTCAGTATGATAGTATCTAAAACATCCTAACAACTTTTATTGCAAGTGTTATTTTCAGAAACTATTCAGTCTGTAGTCATCTCTGACTTTGTCTATTTAGTTTCTGCTTAGCTATATATGTATTTTCCAAGCTTGGTTTTTTTACATTGACCTAGTTAGAAACTGAAAGACTTTAATCCTTAGTCTAATCTTACTTTGACCTGTATATCCAACTAGTGAAAAAGGCATACACTTTTCTGGTAATTTCATTTAAAAAGTATTGTAAAATTACTATTATAAGAATAAATATTTGCTCATCAGAACCACAGGCTAAAAATGCCACTTTTCCGCTGGATGAAATGGCCAAGAAATGAGTCGTCGTACAAGTCCACACATTACGCTGGCTCAGACATAGTGACAAAAACTCTGCTTCGGGAATTAAAGTGGCATCTCAAGGAGCGAGAGAGATTAATACAAGAGATAGAAAATGAACAGAAAGTGAAAAAAACTGGTGTGGATTACAACTGGCTGAGAAGCTACCAGAATCCCCATGTAACTATCCCAGCTACTGAACAAAGACAACTTGAAACCCTTTGCTCCCAAGTTCAACCTTGCCAAACTGGAACCATTCTCAGCAGGTAAAACTACCAGGTTCTCAGGCTGGGAAGGTGGCTCGGTGGTTGAGTGCTTTTAGCATGCATGATGCCCTAGGTTTGATTCCTCAGTACCACATAGACAGAAAAAGCCAGAAGTAGCACTGTGGTTCAAGTGGTAGAGCACTAACCTTGAGCACAGAGAGGCTCAGGGATAGTGCCCAGGCCCTGACTTCAAGCCCCAGGACTAGCCAGAAAAAAAAAACAAAAACACCATGTTCTCTTCTGATGATATGTGATGCTGCCCAGTCTAAGTCCCTCACATATTCAGACTAGAAATTGTGATGTTATATAAAGTTATACCCATCAAATCCCTAGATACAGGGGGAATAGACCTGTCCCTAGCTATCTCACTGTAGGATATTTTTTAAATCACAATCCGATTTTCTTTACCAGAAGCATAGTTTTAAAGCATAAATTTATGTGCAGATTTTTCTAAAGGTGAGTAATTAGTACACAATGACATTATGTAAGTTGTATTTAGGAAATGAAGAAAAGAACATTTATTCTCCATCCTCTCTAGATTTCGGGAAGTTTTGGCAGAAAATGATGTACTGCCATGGGAAATTGTCTACATCTTCAAGCAAGTTCTAAAAGACTTTCTGAGCAGTCCCGACAGAGATCACCAGCACCAGGGCCCACAGGACCCCTGGGGTGCTCGCCGCCCTCCCTCAGGGCTTGCGGGCGAAAGCTCCCAGAGTCCAGACAAAGATGAAATACCCACTATTTCAAGTTATGTAGACAGAAACACAAAGAACAGGTTCCCAGCATGCTCATACAGAATATGGAACCTGCCGTATTATCACCCATCAAATTAAGGTACTCATTTAGTGGGGTTTTTATAGCCATCTTAGAATCGTAACTATTCATATTATCAATAAGAAAAGTGATAGGTAGCTTCAAATTTCTGTTACAATGCCAGAAGTTAACATTTCTGTGGAAGTATCCTGTTTTAAATTGTATTCTATAAATATGCAATGTTTTCATTCAACAGTATACTTTTACTTTTTATTTTTTTGGTATTGGGGATCGAACCCAGGACGTTGCACTTGCTAGGCAAGCGCTTTGCCACTGAGCTACATCCCAGCCCACCAACAGCATACTTTTAAAAAGTGTTTCCTGAACCCTGGGCCTGGGTGCTGTCCCTCAGCTCTTCAGCTCAAGGCTAGTGCTCTACCACTTGAGCCACAGCACCACTTCAGGCTTTTTTCTTTTTGCTTATGTGGTGCTAAAGAATCGAACCCAGGGCTTCATGCATGCTAGGCAAGCACTCTACCACTGAGCCACCTTCCCAGCCCTGAAGTATTTTCTTATACCTCAAACAAATCACACAGAACCTAAAGCAATTTAATATAAAGCCTGACAAATTAAACTGTGAAACTTAGCTTGACTTTTATTCTAGAATAAAGAATTGATGTAAATATTTCATATACAATACAGCAGGGGATAGGGACTAGACTCAGAGGGAAGGAATATAATGTAGATAACATGCAGTTTATAAACAAAGGAGTGCTTTACCCTGACAAGAATAGTCATTTTTAATCACAGTATTTTTAACTCAACAATAATGGGAAGTATTTTAAATTAGCCTTATATTTTATCAATAAAAATAAATGGACTGATCTGGAAACTTGAAGAGAAGGGTGGGGTTTTGAAAGATGGAAGGGATGACACTGATGAATATATACTGTACTTATTAACAGACATGTTGAATTAAACCCCTTTGTATAACTACTTAAATGTTAAAAAAAAAATGGACTGGTTTAACATTCCCGGCTGGGAATGTGGCTTAGTGGCAGCAGAGTGCTTGCCTAGCATGCATGAAGCCCTGGGTTCAAGTCTTCAGTACCACACAAGCAGAAAAGGCTGGAAGTGGAGCTGTGGCTCAAGTGGTAGGAGTGCTAGCTAACCTTGAGCAAAAGCAGCTCAGGGACACTGCCCAGGCCCTGAGTTCAAGCCACAGGACTGGGGGGAAAAAAATCAATGCTAACATACAATTTAAATCTGTATTATGCTCATAAAAAATAGCAAAATATTTAGCATATAAAATTTAATGTATTTTATAGCTTCCTTAAATAAAAGAAAATGCAACAATCAGATTCATCCTTCCAGTAAAAACCTTTAGCCCTTGTGGTGTCTATACTTGTATTAGTTTTCTTTCATCTAAAAAGGAAAAAAAAAAATCAAACCTAAAACTAGATACATTGTACATTAAATACATACAAGTGTGCGCGCACACACACACTTCTCTTTTCTGCTTGCCTGGCTATCTAGTGTTATATCATTTTCAACTGGCCTCTCAATTTGGTCTTAAATGCCATCCATGCAATAAATACATGTAGTCAGGTTTAATAAAACAAGGAAAATGGAACACAGTTCGAACTACATTTGAAATAAAGACTCTACACACAATTGTTCCTTTTGGGGGGGGGGGGGATCTGGTCGTGGGGCCTGAACTCTGGGCCTAGGCACTGTCCTCAGCTCTTCAGCTCAAGGCTAGCACTCTACCACTTGAGCCACAGCGCCACTTCCGGCTTTTTTTTTCTTTTTGCTTATGTGGTGCTGGGGAATAGAACCCAGGGCCTCAGGCATGCAATGTAAGCGCTCTACCACTGAGCCACCTTCCCAGCCCCAACTGTTCCTTTCTTGCTCCATGACATAACACAGAGTTTCTTCATCAGACTGTAAGGTTTCTTAAGAATGTAAACTATTTATGAGAGATAAATGTTCCCAAAAGTACATAACTGCTAACTGTGCACAAATATAAAAAGTAGCAAACATAGTCAGGCACAGTGGTACATAACTTAACTCCCAACTACTTGAGAAGATGAGGCAGGAAGAGCATTTCTGAGTCCACAACTTCAAGACCAGCCTAACACAGTGAATCCCCACCTCAGAAGTAAACATAAAAATAATTGTTTTCAAAGAAAGTAACAAGGAGTTTTAAGAAAATATCAATAATAAATAATTAATAAATTATTCTTGATTGCAAAAACAGACTGTGGAGTTTGTCTCTGAAGTCAGTACTAGAACTGGTAACTTCCTGGGTCTCTCAGGAAGGAAATGCCACGGGCATTCTTCTGCACAGCAACTCAGACAACTCAGAGAGGGCAATCCTATATACTGACAGGAAGAAAACACTGTATCCAACAACTCTGCCCCAAAGCTCAGACTGAGGCAGTAGGCAGCGGTGTCATTCTACCAGCCGGGAGAGTGAATCCTCTGCTAGTCCAAGTCACCCACGGTGCAAACGATTCATTTCACAACCACACTTTAAAAGGGAATCAAAGAACAGACTGTTTTTGGAGTTTCTCCCTCTCACTTCATTGTTGGCGCCTAAAACCCACACCAGGTGTAGTGACGCATGCTTGTAACCCCGGCTACTTGGCAGGTGAAGGCAGGAGGATAGAGCCTGAGGCCAGCCCTGACAAAGATGGCGAGACTCCGTCTCAAAAAAACCAATAAAATAGAGCTGGGAGCCGGTGGCTCACGCGTGTCATCCTAGCTACTCAGGAGGCTGAGCTCGAGGATCGCGGTTCAAAGCCAGCCTGGGTAGGGAAAATAATCCGTGAGACTCTTTGGATCCAATTAACCAGAAAAAAAGCTGGAAGCCGAGCTGTGGCTCAGGTGGTAGAGCACCAGCCCTGTGTGAAAAAGCTACGCACACACGCACACACACGCACGCACGCACGCACACACACACACACGCGAGGGCCGGACCTGAGGGGGAGGGACGCCCCACCTCCCCCACCCCCCACCCCGCCCCCACTCTACCTCCTGGAGGCCGAGGCCAGGCTCGTGGGCGCCGGAGCCTGGGTGGGGACCGGGGGCGAGGCCACCGGGGCCGGAACTGGAGCTGGGGCCTGGGCCGCGGCCGCGTCCCGGCCCGGCGCCTCAGCCGGGAAGGCGGGCGGCGAGCCCAGCAGCTCCACATTGGTCACCGTCTTCCCGATGGTGAACCAGTCGTTAATCTGGTCGATGGTGAGCTTCCGCAACATCCTGGGAGTGGCGGGTCTGCGCGGCGTCAACCGCCTGCCTGGCCCGAGTGGCGGGAACACCCCACGCGGAAAACGTCTGGTACCGCACCGGAAGACCCGCCCCACCGGCCCAGGCCCTCCAATCAGAGCGTGCGCTCGACGGGGAGGGCGGAGCCAGGCCTCTGAGCCCTGCACGTGGGCCTCACGCACGCACGAGCACGACGAGGCCGGCCTAGCGCGCGAGGCCTGCTGGGACAGCAGGTCAGGTGACCGGAGCCAGGCCGAGGGCCTCGAGGCGCGGGGCGGGTCCTGTGCTCGGGTGCGTCGGGAGGTTCAGGTTCGCCAGGCCGGCGGGGCACGCCTCCCGCCTGTCCCGGACCGAGCGGGCACGGCCCCGAGGGCCCGGCCGCACCCCGCAGGACGGTCGGACAGGCTTGCCGCGGAGGGAAGGCGGTGGAAGGCCTCAAACCACTCGGGCGAGGGACTGACTGCGTGAGCTTCAGGAGCCAGCCCGCGCCTAGGCCTCCACCAAGCAGCACGGCCGGCGCAGCCACTGAGCAAATCGGCGAGACAGTCCTTTCCAGAACATTCCACGTGTGTTGAGTATTCTCTTTTCCTCGGAGTGTTGGGATTTGAAACGAAGCATATTAAAAGCCTATTGATCTCATGTAGTCAGAAGTTCCCAGGCTTAGCCTTGCAACAGCATCGCATGATGGTCTTAACTTTCTCCCAAGTGCTCATTCTTGCCCTCAGCAGTTTTCAAAGTCATCCTGTTTAAAATTTATCTCAAGTGGTCAAGTGGCGCTGTGGCTCAAGTGGTTAAATATATTTCACCCTCAGAGCCTCTTTAATTAACACTCAGGGTGGGGGAGGGTGTGCCTAGATTTGGACTTGATCTCAGGGCCACTCACGCATGGTACTCATCAATTGAGCCAAGCATCCGCTTGTGTTTTTGCTAGTTATTTACAGATAAGAGTCTCCCGTTTTATAAGCCAAAGATTGTAGGCATGACCCACCAGCACCAGGCTCTCTTCACACTCTTAACAGTGAAGACCCTAAAGAGCATTTATTTATGTCATCTATATGAGGGATTTCAACTGATATTAATTAAAACAATAATAAACACATTTGATGTTAGGGAATATTTTTGTGAGAGACAATATATCCCCACCCCAAAAAAAAGTCATGTATGTGAAGAGTGACATGACTATTTTCATATTCACTGTTTCCTTGGTGTCTGGCTGAATGGAAGGAAGCTGCTCAAATCGGTTGTGATATTTCTGTTCTTTCTAGAACCAGTGAGCCTCTAAAGAGGTCTCCAAAAGGGAGGAGGTTTATTCCTTGGGTACTGAGTTCATGATGTTGTCACAGAATTATTGTAGGACATATGGAGGTAGAGCCAAGAAATTTTATTTGCAAGGCAAAACAAAGGAAAGGACAGTACAAGACTTACATGCTCCAAAATGAAGACTCAAGTTTTTAGGCCCCAGGCCCAAATTCCTTGAATTTCACATCAGGTTCAACCACTTGCTCCAACTCACTCACTAAAGAGATGAGTGATGGAGAAGGGCAAAGAAAGACTTGTTACCTAGTTTGGGTAACCAACAAGAGAAAAAGTAAATGTTCAGCCCAAATTCAGTCATCTTGAGCCTTAGGTTTAAATAGACAAAGAATTCAGGGGCAGGGGTGCTGGAAGAGAGAGGGATGCGTAATATTAGACAACCCGGGTCTCAGGCGTATTGGAGGTAGATCGCATCTCAGTCCAGGCTTGGGGAGGGGTTTCAGGTGCATTATCACTGTCATCAGGGGTGTGGTGTTGTAGTTTTTGTTGACTGGGTGGCCAGGTGTCCTGCTGGTCTCTGCTGTTTCTTTCCTTGTGGGCAGTCTTTTCTATCCTTCCTTGGAAAAATCGTTAAGTCCTGTCCTCTCTGGATTCCAAGGTGGCTGCAGTAGAGAATGGCTTAGACCAAAGGATAGCTGCAAGGTCGAGGCAGGGGAGCCCAGCTTTTCTCCTGCTTTGAGACAATTTGTGGACCCAAGTAATGAGTCAGCGCTTCTCAAAAAAACAAAAAGCAGCTGAAGTACCTGTTACAACATCAGAGGATTTTTTTTTTTTGTCCGTCATGGGGCTTGAACTCAGAGCCTGGGCATTGTCTCTGAGCTCTATTTTGTTCAAGGCTAGCGCCCTAGCACTTTGAGCCACAGCGCCACTTTGGGTTTCCTACTGGTTAATTGCAGATAAAAGTCTCATGGACTTTCCTGCTTTGGCTGGCTTTTAACTGTAATCCTCAAATCTCAGCCTCCTGAGTAGCTAGAATTACAGTGTGAGCCACCAGTGCCCAGCATTAGAGGAATTTATGGTGAAAAAGTGGGTTGAGGGTTTGGCTTAAATTCATGCTTGTTTTGGATTTGTGGTATATTGGATCGCTCTTGCTGTTATACTGTTTTGAAATTGCTCAATTGGGCCCAGAGATATCAAGTCTTGTCAGTTCAATCAATTTGGGTCATTGTGACCCAAAACAAAATTTCTTTAAATAAAGAAAGGGTTTTATCATAGGTTCCTTTTAAGTTAGGTGTCCTTCCTAAAGGTAAATATTCTCCAAAATATTTTGCAAACATAACTGTTACCAAAAGAGCCATTTTACCCAGTGTTTTGCTCCCAGGATAGGTGGAAAAGTGTCTTTTATCCCAACTCAGTTCTCAGTAATCACTTGGTCAAGCAGGTAAGATCCAAGGGGACAGTCTCTCCCCCTCCTCTCCCCGCCCCTGTCTGTTCATTCTGTTCATGCTTCTGGGCAGCTTTTTCTTGACTTTTAATTCAACAATTCTTCCACTATCTGAGCAACTAAAAGCTAATTTGGCTCTTTATTACCTAAGTGGGCTTTTCCAAGTCCCGCCAATGTTCTCTTGGCTTTCTGTTTCATGTTTTCCGTAAACATGAACAGCAGGGCTAACGGTCGCGCGGTCCGCGCAGGGCGAGGGCCGCCGGGGGCGCTGTGGCGCGCAGG